TCCACTGAATGCGTACTAATGAGAATAGAACAGAGCAGAAGGGTGAACTGATCAGAACACAGCCGATCCGGCTGTAGGCTGCTGCCCTCCTATGGCAAACTGGGACAGCAGTCCTGGTGCCCGGAGCAGCTCTCTGTACCGAGTTCAGCTGCTGGCTCCGGCTGACAGAAAGCACAGCTTCCAAACACCCAGTTTGTCATCTCGCTGTTTGTCTGAAGTAGAAAATCAACACCCTGGGGCACTCGGCCTTTCTGCACTGCCAGGGAAGCTTTTGTGGATGGAAAGAACTGTGCGCTGCTCAAGGAGCATTTGCCATCCTGAGCCTGTGTGACAGCATTGAACAAAAACATCCCTGCAGAAAAGGTGCAGATCTGCGGCTCTTCCCCCTTAGTGACAGCTCTTTGTTGCTATTGTTGGGGTTTCTTTCTAATGTCTGTGTTTCAGCAACACAGGAGCTGGTGATTCGTGGCCCCATGAGGCACTCATGAAGTTCAACAAGTGCAGGGGGCTGCATCTGGTGGGGCAATCCCATATATGAGCACAGACTGCAAGAGGAACTTACTGAGAGCAGCTCTGAGGAGAATGACTTGGGGGCTCTCATGTATAAAAAGCTGAACACAGCCTGGCAGTGTGTGCTCACAGCCCAGAAAGCCAATTGTGTGCTGAGCTACAGCAAAAGCAGCGTGGGCAGCAGGGCGACAAGGGATTCTGCCCTTCTGCTCTGCTCTTGTGAGATCCCACCCGGAGTGCTGTGTCCAGCTCTTGGGACCTCAACACAAGAAGAAGGATGTGGATCTGTTGGAGCAAGTCCAGGGGAGGCCACAAAGATGATCAAAGGGCTGGAGCACCTCTCCTACAAAGGCTGAGAGAATTGAGCGCGTCCACCCAGGAAGAGGCTTAAAGGGAAACCTCACTGCAACCTCCCAGCACCTTGAGGGGGCTTGTGAAAAGACAGGGACTTTTTAAATGAGCCGATAGTGATGGGACGTGCGGCAAGGGTTTTAAACCAAGAGGACAAGTTTAGATTAGATATTAGGAAGAAATTCTTTACCCCGAGGGGGGGCAGTCATTGGCACCAGTTTCCCAGAAAAGATATCTCTGAGGTGTTAGATAGAAACATCATATCCCTGTACTCCCCAGTTACTTTCCTGGTGAACCAAGAAATTCATTCATAATGAAAATTAGACTTGTATGTATTTAAAAAAAAATGTAGCATTATGTTCACGTAAATCACTGAGATTTGGATTAGATATAAGGAAGAACTTTACTGTGAGGGTGGTGAGGCACTGGCATGTGTTGCCCCGAGAAAGCTGTGGATGCCCCTTCCCTGGAAGTGTTCAAGGCGATGGATAGGACTTAGGGCAAGCTGCTCTGGTGGCAGGTGCCTGTGCCCATGGCAGGGGTTAGGAACTAGATGATCCTCAGGCGCGTTTTCCCGGCGTTTCACTGAGCGGAGCCGCCGCACGGCGCGGCCCCGGCGCTGCGCTCCTCCCACCGCACGAGGGCGCCGCGCCGCCGCCTCCGGCCGAGCCCTGCCGCACACTACAGTACCCAGCACGCCCCGCGGGGCTGGCCGGAAGCGGCAGTGGGCGGGCGGAAGCGGCGGGCTGGGGCGCCATGAGGGGCGTCGGGAGCAGCGGCGCCCTCCGCGCCTGGGCCGGGCCGCTCCTGCTCCCGGTGCCGGCCCGGCTGCCCCCGGCTCCTCGCAGAGGTGAGAGGCGCCGTGCTGCGGCCCCTCGGGGTGGGTGGCTGCCGGTGTCGGGTGAGCCCGTGTCTGTGAGCGGCGCTGGGGCTGCACAGGGCGCGGGGCCCGTCCCTGAGGCGCTGCGTGAGGGAGCGCTGAGCGCCTTCCCTCGGGGCTGGAGCAAGGGGTGAGTGCGTAGGGGCTGTCAGGGGTGTTCGGGACGGGAGGAGAGGCCGGGGTGCAGGGGGCGTCATCCGGAGGTTGTCTCAGGTACGTGTGTGCGGAGTGGTTTTCTCAGCTCCTGGGAGAGGAGCATCCGCCCGAGACTGCAGCAGTGGAGCAACCAGAGCTGAAATACCGGCTTTCTTGAGACAGTGTCTGTGCAATGTAGCTCTTCAACCCAAAGAAAAAATCCACCTATGCGTTTAGAAGATAAGAGTCGTGTGTTTAAAACCTGGGACAGCTCCATAAAAACGCTTTAAGTTGGTTTTCTTTATTTGTGTGTAGCATCTGGTGCATCTTAACTCTGATGTTGTCATTAATAATAAAGTGCTGTGCCTGGTTTAGTTGTAGTCTGATTTTTATAGTATTTGTAAGATAGCACATAACTTGATTTATCTAGTAGTGGCACAAAATTATAAATTCCATATTGTTTAAATGTTATAAAGCTTTTGAGTAAAGATCTGGATAAGACACAGAATTTGGTTAAGGCAGAGAGCCAGCAGTGCATGTAGTTTCACATGAACAGATGAAGAAGTAACAGGGCTGCTTAGAGAACAGAGAATCAGAGCAGAATCTGTAATATGCAAAGCCACACAAACATAAGGTGAAGAGAAACATATGCTTGAAGTAAAAGTAGGAGAAGCAGTGAAACCTGCTTGTGGGAGAGCACATCATAAATAGAGTGGATCGTTAACTAATACCCGAGGTTAACTAATATCTCTGTAGAGATTAGGTATTCCTCATCTCTGAGGTGTTAGATAAAACATCATATCCCTTTATTGCCCAGTTACTTTCCTGGAACCAAGAAATTAATTCATCTTGAAAATAAGATTTGCATATATATTCTTTTTACTTGTAGCTTTATGTTCACACAAGCCACTGAAAATGAGATATTTGGATTAGGCATAAGGAAGAAATTCTTTACTGTGAGGCTGTTGAGGCACTGGCACAGGCTCCCCAGGGAAACTGTGGATGCCCCATCCCTGGAAGCTTCAAGGCCAGGTTGGGTGGGGCTTTGACCAGCCTGATCTGGTGGAAGGTGTCCCTGCCCATGGCAGGGGTTTGGAGCTAGATGATCTTTAAGGTCCCTTCCAAACCAAACCATTCTATGATTCTGTGATAAAATAAAAAGCTGTTGGAATTAAGGCTCAGTGATTCAAATAAAACAGCAATAAATGCTTGATTGCATAAAGTCATTCAGTGTTTTTTACAAGTGTGAAAATTATTTCAGTGATGTTTCCCAAATATTATCAAACAGTTGGCTGTGGGGTTTATTTGTGCTGTATCAGGATGCTTGTCTGTTGTACAGTTATATGAACACACTTCAGACAGATCTGTAAGTCCTGTTTAATGTAAATTCCCTGTGGAAAAGGGTTGATGGTTTCTGGTGTGTTGAACCCAGCTTTTTGTTGCAACATCCATACAGCTTTTCTGTGATGAAAGAAATGAAGATTAGTGTATTGCATGATAAGCCAATCAAGGTAAGATTAAGGCATGTTTGGTTGTTTCCAGGTTTTGCTGCCACAATCGTTAGGAAGTCATATGATGTCAGAAGAGTTGATATCACTCCCCTGGAGCAGAGGAAGGTGACTTTTGATACCCATGCTTTAGTGCAGGATCTGGAAGCCCATGGTAAGTGATGTCAGATAAATAATTCAAAGGAAAACTTTTAATATTAAGTAGTGTAACTTTGAGTGCTGTCAGTTTCCCCTGAGTACCAGTGGTGTAAAATGTTTTAGCAGCCTCTTGAGGAGGCTGGTGAAGGAGAGGCATCTGATGGTGTGCCCTACAAATAACTAGGACATTAGATTGACCTCATTTGTAGCTGTAAGCAGGTTTATGTGGTGTCTTCCAGCTGAAGAACACAACACAGGTAACAAATGTGAAGTAACAGTTAAAGACTTCTACAGCAAAAGTGAAGCTCTTCAATAAATTCCTTCTATTAGCCTGCTAAGAGTAGCTGAAGGGTTTTTTCCTAGTGAGAAATATTCTCAGCAGCAAGGTGCTGTGATACATTCTCAATGCCCACTCCTCTGTTGTGAGTGAGGCTGGCTGAATTCAGATAAAGGGTTCATCCAGCCCTGGGTTCTGTCTCCTGGCAGCAGCTGAGTCAGAGCCTGCAGAGGAGTGTTATAACAGGGTAGATGTATGTCACACATCCTCTTGTATTTTCCAGGTTTCTAGTTTCTGTCACCATGGAGTTACTTTAAATTGGTTGAGAGTTTTAGTAACCGTCAGTGGAAATCTTTTCACAAGTTTATGCAGTCCCTGAGCCACTATAAACTGATTACTATCCAGAGCATGCTTTCTCATGGAACTTCAGGCATCTGTGTGGTCTGTTTATGCAGAATCTGGCATCTGTGAGGTGCATTTGATGCTCACTCAGCTCCTTTGTGGGAAGGAGTGAACATTTTATCTCTCATGTCACTCAGAATTATGCAAACTTCTGTCTATTGCCCTGTCATTTTCCAAACAGAAGAATCCTAGCTTGTTGCTTTTTTTCCTGAAGCAGTAGATTTTCCATATTTTTGATTATTCACTATGCCCTTCTGTTAGTATTTTCTGCTTCTGTCACATTCCATTCCATTTCAGGCTTTCAGGGAACAGTGCTGGCATTACTTGACAACTGAATGTCCTATGGATTTGCATAGTAAAGTAATGCTGGGTCCACTGTTCCTTTTCCTAGTCATTCAAAGGGTTTGGTTAGCTTTATTCATCCCTGCTGAGCTTTGAGCTGATATCTTCATCAGACGAGCAACTATTTTTTAAAATCCCAAGTGACAGTAGAAACTTCGTACTGTCAGAGTTTATAATTGTTTCCGCTATTTGGGTCTAATAATAATATGTGTTAGTAGTTAAAAGACTCACAGTAATCTGCTGTGTTTATTTTTATCATGCTTGTCAGACTTGACAGCCTGCACTTCCCTACGTCGCTCTAGAACTGCTTTTTGAAACTGGCACTTTTATTTTCCACAGTAAGCTGTGAAATCTTACTTGTCCTAGAGACTGATTCAGCTATTTCTTCTTCAACTTCCTTTAGGACTTGTGGGATAAAGTCTGGTGCCAGTTGTTACTCAGTTTAATTTGTTCTATAACTTCTACAAATACTTCTACCACAGTGACAGATCTTTATAGGTAAAACCACAAAAATAAGAGAGCCATTTTAGTTTTTCCCAAGCTTTTGGCAGTTTTCAGGCTTCAGTCTCTTGCTTACATTTTTTTTTTTTTTCCTCATTTTCTAAACTTTCACAAAACAAAGTAATTTCTTGCTGTGGAGGAAGAGCAACATAAGGAATTGGCAAGAGTTCAACTAACCCTGAAAATTCAGAGAACCTGAAGCAATACTATCACACTTTGTAGTGGGAAGAAGCTGCTGTAAGGCACATTTACTTTTTTAGACATGTAAGCCAGTGGTGCACCTGGACAGTAACAGTATTTTAGAAGGGTGCAGTGGTATAGTTCTCTAAATAATGTGCCTTGAAAGCAATTTTCAATGTTAATTTAGCCCACTTTATGGAATGGGCTAGTTGAAACACAACATACCAGTCAGATTGCTGGAAATAAATCTCTAGGGCAAAAGCTCTCAGCACCTGACCAGATCTGACTAAAATGAGAGCAATTTTTCTTCCCCATTATTCACCACGCATCATCTGTAACACTTCAAAATTACACCAAGCTACAGGCAAAGTGTATTTTTTATCATCAGAAAGCAAAAATCCCAGTTTGAGTTAATTCTGCAAGCAATGGATGAAGCAGTTTAAAAATCAGTTTTGCCTATGTTCCTATCTCTGCAGGACAGTTCCAATATATGCAGAAATACTTACTATTCTATAGAGTGTATGCTTTGTAGCTCAAGGTAAGTTTGGTTTTAACAGAATTTGTGAATGTTCATTATGAAGTTTTGCTAAATTATTTTAATAATGCATGAACGGCTGGATCTTCTACAGAGAAATTTGGTCTTTCTTTCAGGTGCATGTGTAGACTTTCAGTATATTAAAAGGTGCTGTGCTTCAGATTTTTGCAGCATTAACTTTGTTTTGTCTACCTGAAGTCACAGTGCCTGGCTGTCAGTTCCCAGTTATTGTGTGAATTCCCATGTGCTGCTGTGGTAAGGTCTGGCACTTGAGCATCTCTTGCTCCTCATCCAGATTTTTAATACCACCATAACTTACCATCCTTCAATTATCCCCTAGGCTTTGGGAAGGAGCAAGCACAGACCATTGTGTCAGCGTTGATAACCCTGTCCAATGTCAGCTTAGACACCGTCTACAAGGACATGGTCACACAGGCCCAGCAGGTAAAAACTCATCTGTGCTGTGTAGCTATAAAAGCCCTGTTTGCTTCTTTAAAACAGAAGTGAGCAGCTCTCTCTAGTACTATAAATACCTCCCTGTGCCAGGTTTTCCTAAGTTTCACTTGGGATTTTAACAGATAGTTATAGGGCCTGACCAGCTTCCACTGAAGTCTGACTACTTCATTGAACACAATGAAGTTTGTACAATTCCTGGGAAAACTCTGGTTGCATTTACACTGAGGAGCTAATATGCCTCATGCCATCTTAAAACATTCATTATCAATATTAACTACACTATAAAAGCCAGTGTTTCTGCCTAATTCAATTCCATGCCAACTCTGTTCAGGACGCTTTGCGTGTAATAGGATTTTTAAAAAGAAAGGTTTTCATTCTGGTGAAAGAAAATCACAGAGACAGAAATTTTTGTTTTCTTCTGAGATGTAGAAGGAAAAAACAAGTTAGACAACTTTTATTACAAGTAAATGCCAGTAAGATAAAAGTCTGCAAAAGGCTCAGCAGTTCAAATAAAATAGCAATGAATGCTTAATTACATTAAGGAATTGGAGAAGAACAGCACATAATTTCAGTCTGCACAGCCTTCTGGAGCAATGATCAAAATCGTCCCTGTGCATCAGAGAATCCCACAGCAATGTGTCTTTTTCCATACTAAATAGTAGGGTAACTTCCATATGCTGGGTGAAGGAGTATTGCTTTCGCCATTTTAAAATACTGAGTTTCTTCCTTTATTTTCTGGGTTGGGTTTCTTCCTGTGTTTATATGTAGTGGTTGAATTCTGAACTTGTTAGTTCAAACCCCAGGAAGGCTTTCTCAGTGCTTTTTAGCAGTGTTTTTACTTCTGTCCATCAGACTTTGAAACTGGCAGTGTAATACTCATTAAATCTTTGGCTTTGGCCTATGAGTTTGTAGGCAAGAAATGGAAGTGCTTAGTAAGAGCTGCATTCAAATCAACAATTAATGCTTCTGAGGCTACTGAATGTTCATTGAAAGTGGAAGAGACTGCAGGACTGACCTGTAGTTTCAGGTATATTTCATTTCATCCCTACTTGGACTAACACCTCTGATCTTTTTGCTTAAATTCAGAGTTGGTGTATTAAAGCAACAGAAAAAGCACAAAACTCTTGAGTCATTCAAACAAACTGCTAGTATTGTCTCTTTCTGTCACATTCTTGTTAGGGAGACTCCCCACTTTTTTGCTTTGCAGTAGCTAATTTCATCATTTCAGACCTAAACATTTTTTCTTTAGGTGTCAGAAAGAGTGCACATTAATCAATGGCATACTTTATTTTTCAAAGGAAATAACTTTACAGCAGATAATGGCACATTTGGACTCCATTCGAAAAGATATGGTCATCCTGGAGAAAAGTGAATTTGCAAACTTGAGAGCAGAAAATGAGGTACTAATACGTATTTCCATTAAGCAGTTTACTTTGTTGCATTTTACCTGATGTACAGTAGAACAAAATACAAATGTAAAAGTAATTCTGGATGCTTTAATCAGGACTGAAGAGTCTGTATGCTACAACTTCAGCATTCATATAAAAATATGCTTCACGTGCTATGACCTGTTCAGTTTTCTGTAAAGGATTCTAAGATGTGTACATTTTTTTCATCTTTCATTTTATTTAAGAGTAACTTCTAGTTTCTGGCCATTAACCATATAGTAGAGGAATCAGCCATTCTTTTGTAGCAATTTAATTAATTTGGTGATTGAGACACATTTTGCTTTTACTTCATGGCATTGTGGTATTTCTCTGGTGTCTTTAGACTCAGAGTAACAAGATAATAATTGTTACAAAATAATTCCTTTATTTTGAACAAAATTCCCAGCACATTATATATGCCTGTACATCCGAACACATTAGTTAGGATATTTAATCAAGAACAGATTGCCCCATTGGGAGGAAAAATGGGAAAAGAATAATTGCATGGATGCAGTGATAACACATCACTGATTCGTTTGGTTAAGTTTCCTGAATTTGTAAAAAAATTTTTTTTTTCTCCTCTGCCCTTAGAAAATGAAAATTGAATTAGATCAAGTTAAACAACAGCTAATGGTAAGTAAACAGTAAGTACCTACACACTCCCATTAGGGGGAATAAATAACTATTTTCATAATCTTAATTTGTTTTAAAGACTGAAACTGGTAAAATCCGAGCTGACAGCAAGCTAGACATAAACCTGGAGAGGAGCAGGGTGACAGATATGGTAAGTTGGTCTGTGAGATGCCCTTATTAGCTTTGTGTTGTGTTTCTGTTGCTATAGCTGTGATTTATCTTTTATCCACAGTTTACAGATCAGGAGAGGAAACTGATGGAAGCCACTACAGAGTTTCATAAAAAAGTAAGTATTGAACAAAACAGGATTTAGTTATGCATTGTGTGTTATGTAAACCCCGATCTTTGCTGAAAGCTAATACGTTTATGGGTATGGTAAAGCAAAAGGCCAGGCTCTATCACTCAGGGCTGTTGCAGGTGTTTCTTGCCTGTGGGATTCACGCTAAACTCCAATCAGCAGAGGGAGGCATTCCAGCCTTGTCCCTCACTTCCCAGGTACCTTGTCACAGACTGGCACAGCTGGGATGTGAGCTATCATGCTTCCTTTTTCCTACTGTTAACTGATGAGCTGTACCACAGGGATGGTGCAGATGCCTACAGCCAAGCAATTCAAGGGCTGGAAGTCCCAAAGCTGCTAGAGGACATCAGAGTCTAAGGGGCTGAAGAGGGACCTTGTCCTAACTTGAGTATATCTTCCATTTTTGCGATACGCCTTATGAATGCTTAAAACTTTGTTTTTCAAAAATGCAGGAACACTGTTCTGTGTGCTGCAGAATATCTCTTTCAGGAGGTACTGGCACATCAGAGACAAAAGTCCATCATGAGGGTGGCGAGACAGTGGCACAGGTTGCCCAGAGAGGTTGTGGGCTCCCCATCCATGGCAGTGTTCAAGGCCAGACTGGAAGGGGCTCTGAGTAACCTGGTCTAGTGAAAGGTGTCTCTGCCCATGGCAGGAGAGTTGGAACGAGATGGTCTTTAAGGTCCCTTCCAACCCAAGCCAGTCATTGATTCTGTGGTCACTGAAGTTTTCTCTTGTCTGTCTATCCCTTCAGCAATCTTCCCAGATTGTATGAAGCAATTTTCTCTGTCTTCTAATGTTTTTTAGCAGTGATAGGTTGGAAATTTTCTTGTTGCTGGTAGCATGGTTTTTTTAGTTCAGCTTTGGAAAGGTGAAGAGAGACCATTGTCGAATATATGCTGTCTTTTAATATTTCAGGATGCAAATACCAACAGCATTATCTCAGAAATCAGTTATAAAATTGACACTGAAATAGCTTCCTTAAAAACACTCATGGAATCGAATAAACTTGATACCATTCGCTATCTGGCAGGTATGTGACAGGGAAAGCGGTGAGTATTTGTACTGGATTGTGGCTGTATAAAATTTTGTTCAGGAGTATATGCTAAATGAGGTCAGCTGTAGCAGCAAACAACTAGGATTGGGTAGAGGAGATATCCCTTTCCCCTTCTAGCTGGAAGGAATGTGACAGCACAGAAGATCTGGGAGCATGCCACTGTGGGACTAGAATTGTGCCCAGAACTGAGATTAGGACAAATATGGACATGGTTTAAAAAGAAGCCTAAACACTATACCCAGTTTGACAGTACCTCTGCTTGCTGCAGCAGCCACTGATGTGATGGAGTTGCTACAGAAGTTTTGCTGTCTTTCAGGACTGGTCTGAGAGTGACCATTTCTGCCTCCACTGAGTCTCCATAGACACACAGTTTCTGTGTGGCAAGACTTGTACTTTCCCCTGCCAAGCAGAACTAATTTCAGAATGCTTGTTTTGCTTGTTCAAAAACATAATTTGAAATTAGTCTTCTCAATATGTACATAACCAGTGAAGATTTTTTTGTGTAGGAGTTGGATAAAAAGAGAGTAATGCATTGTATTTGGAAGTGAGAATAAGTTCAAAGGAAAATGTAATTGGCTTTATTTTAACACTACTTGAAACAGCAGCATAACAAATCCAAAAGACAACTCATCAGGCTTCAGGACTGCTGCTGTGTTTGACAGCTCATTTTCAAATTCATTGTCATTTTGGTTCCATGGGAAATCTGGGATGTCTGATGTGAGCCCTGGTGCAGCCAGCTCTCCTGTAGTGCAGTTTCCAGTGACAGTAGTACAAGCCCCTGTAGCCCGTGGTGCTCTGAGGTATTCAGCATAGCTGTTGGGATGTGTCCCTGAAAATGTGGCTCCTCAGGCTGCTGCATGGGGCTTCCCATCTCAGCACTGCTGCTGTGCAGGGTACAGCATCTGAGACCAGCCATTGGCTTCTGGAATTGTTCTGTTGCACCTGCAGCAATCTGGGAGGTTTAGGAGGCTCTGCTCTAGAGCTGTTAATTCTTCCATCTGTTTGCAGCTAATTTGCTGTGTGGATAAAGTGGTACAACAGCATTCAGCTAATTATTTCCTTTCTTTGGGTTTTGTTTTTTGGTTTGTTTCTTTTAACAGCTTCAGTGTTCACTTGCCTGGCAATAGCACTGGGGTTTTACAGGTTCTGGAAATAGATCTACATGGAATGACTCCACTAAGTACAGACAGAAAAGACCATGCAGGCAACACCACTTTGATGATAACCTTGGCACCTTTTGGTTTTGATATTCTTCCTGTATAATAAAAACGTTTTCTGAATATGTAAAACTAAAGAGCAAAATAATTGGGAGGAAGTAGTCAAATAGTAATATTTCATTGTCTCCTATTCAATACTATTTCTTTCAAAGTATTTCTTACGCCATACCTGAAAGCTTCCTAATATCTTTTAGAATTAAATTTGTTCTCTTTCTGAAAAATTCTCACTCTCAGCTCGTTTCAAACTGGAAATAATGAAACATTTTATATACCCTTGAAATGGGAATACAGTTTCCAAATTAGCGTACCCATACTGGGAGCTCTAATACCAGATTCAACCTATCTAAACTGCTCCAAGTAAATTAATCTTGAACATAGGTTCAGGATTTTGCCTTCAGTCTGTTCCTCACTTTTTTAATGAATGGAAGCTTGGCCCTTTGGGGTTTTTATCTACATATGTAAAAAAACACTCCTGAGCCTTTACTAAAGAACCCTTTTTTTTCCTTGAAAAGTGGTTTACATTAATTCAAAATCTCATGTACAGAATGTCTCTATAGATTTTCTTTAGTATGTCCTGCAATTTCTGTAAGCCCAGAGGTCAAAAGAATGGGAAAACTTCTCTGTCTTTGCCTTTCCAAGTGGAAATACACAGCCCTGGGGCGGATAAGTGCTCTTAACTTCCAGGTAGTAGAGTATTTCTAAGAAACCTGCACATACTTTCTGGGCATAGTATCTGGCTTTTAATATGGAAATACTCAGAATCTCAGTGTGCCAGGGTGGTGGTGGTGGTGATCTGCCTCCAGGCTCTTTAGTAGTCCCATGGGACACACTGACCCTCCTGGCCACTCTGCCTTCTGCAAGGACTTGACAGCTCCTGTTGCAGAATTGCAGCACAGGTGGACGCCTTCCAAAACTGAAGCAGTTCCATCTTGTTCAGTATAAATGCATATGCTTGGTTTGATTCTTTAATAATAATTTTTTAAGTCTTTCTGGATTAACTTTGAAGTAAGAATAGGCCTTTTATGGGTTAAGGACTATTGTAGTATTGTCTACTGGCAATTTTTTTTATCGCTGTTTTATTCTGTTTACAGTTGAACTTGCTGGTGTTCTGCCAATATATATATTCTCTGCATTAAATTATTTATATCTTCATTCAAGAAAATAAAACTAATTTCTTATATTTGTTGTCTGGCTATCTGAGAATTTCTGCATGAAAGTTTATCAGAGCAAGACAATTCCCTCCCCTTCCCAGCTGGCCTTGCTGTGCCTGATGCCCCCCAGGACAGGGTTGGCCCTCCTGGCTGCCAGGGCACTGCTGGCTCATGTTCACTGTGTCATTGACCAGGACCCCCAAGTCCCTTTCCATATCACTGCTTTCCAGGGTTTCATTCCCCAATTTGTACATTCACTTAACAAAATTCACTGTCTGTTAACTGTCAGATAAATTTTAACATTTTTGGTAAAAATAGAAACCAAGTAATATAATGCTGAGTCTGTCACTTGCTGTTCATTAATTGCTTGTTACTCCTGTTAAGTAATGGGCCTATTCTTCCTTTTGTTGTCTTAATCTTTACATCTTGTATGGCTTTGAAAAATACAGAAATTAAGCAATAAAAGATAATTTCAACTAATGCTTATACATGCAAGTATATTTGTATCCTAATGCACTAAAATTTTTCTGTATGTTCAACAACACTTTTAAAAGTCATGTGAGTACATTCCTCTGCAGAAGGTAAAGTTGATTAATCATTGTGGGGGATCAAAAAAGCCTTTGTTGTAAATTACTCTCTGAAAAGAGAAGTAGGGACAAAATAATGGGTGCAGTTGCATAGCAGTGCATGTATTGATAGAGAAAGTAAAAAAAAAATTAAAAGTATTTTATAGATGGAGACCTTTATAAAAAGTTGTGATTTCTCTTCCATCCTTCAAATCTGAGCAGCATTATCTCAGAGAAAAAAATAAATTGTGGAAAAGGAACAATTCTTGCCCATTTTAGCTTTACAAAAGGTTGTTTATTGATAGTAATATATCATACTAAGGGGAATAGAGTTGTCTTGAGCAACTGCTCCCCTGCATCACCAAAATAAATCTTGAAGGAAAGTACTGGAAAAACAACACCTTTCATATTTTAGAAGAAAACTAGTGACACAAGGAATGTGCTAGAGGGCTTAACCCATTTGGAGCAAGGAGGTGCAAGAATATGACAAGCAGGGTGAATACTACAAGTATTATGAGGAAGATAAGTGATTGTTGACTTATTAGAGCTGTATAAAATCATGGGATAAAATCCACTTAAAATATTGTTTCATCTGAGGTGACTTACAGCTTTCAGTGTAAATAAAAATCCCAGGTCTAGCTACTGTGCAGAAAACTCAAGTTTACTGCTACAAGCCATTTGTAGTAAAATTAGTTTGGGAGAAAAATGGTCATGGGGCTGGGTTTCTAAGCTGTTATCTGAAAGTGAACAAAATTACAGTATCAAGGTGCATCCAGTCAAATACACAGCAAATACAGTGCTCCCCAAAAGATATACAAATGTGTTTAAAGGATTTGTACAGGAAGGTGGTGGGGAGCATGTTAAATAAGAGCAGAAATTTAACCACAGCTTATGGTTTTAACCTGCCATGCAGTATGGTTCCTAGTACATCAGCCTTTTCTGTGTCTCATACATGCCTAATGTAGGTTGATAGCTTTCCTTTAGTAAAGTGAAGCAAGTTTTACACAGAATGAGGTGTTGTCAATATTGAAAGGCTTTTGCTGAATATGTCATGTAAAGAAGTGAAAAAATGCATCCATACTAATGTAGAAATTCACAGCTGACATTTATTTCTGAAATCAAGTATGCCATGTGCTTTATCCAATCTGATCTCTCCTATCATTGTGTCATTGAGTGTTTGAAATCAGTGTGTTGCCTTGACCCTGTCTTGCAGTTATCCAAATATTTTTGTGTGTGTGTGATCTTTGAACACATGTTCAATGGGGATTTAATCTTCCAGCTTTATAATATATCAGAATGGCCTTGGTAGGAAAAGAGCACTAAATGTCTGCACATCACAAATCATTTCAATGCTCTTCTGCTGGCTTACAGCCTATCAAGCAGTAGACAGCACATTTCTCCTCTCTCTTATAAAACAGCAAAAAGATAACTATCCATGTCTGTAGTATTGATAACATTTCACATGCCTATCATAACTCCTTTTATTAATCTCCTCTAAGATACTGTTTTTATACTTTCAATTTCTCATCATACAAGAGACTCTCCATTTCTCTTTTCCTGCTTTGCATCTTTTACCCAACTGCCACTAATTCTATAATATCCTTAGTGGAAAAGGTATGACCAATACTTTGTAGCTTCCTAAAAGTAGTCTCCACTTTGATAATTTGAATGGTAAGTCTGTATGTATGTATAGCTTATATTAACTTTTCCTGTGGGTTTTTTCTGTCTTTTTAGTTTTGCACTATTTTGCAACTGCTTCTTGAAAAGATTTTGTGTGGGTATATAAAATTCAAATTTCCACTGCCTTTATGCCTCAGTATGTTCCAAGTGGGATCATGACCAGAGGCAGAGTGAGTGTGAGATACTTTTGTCAGATTATTGAACCAAAAGGGCTTGCAGTGCTTGCATAAAGGGAGCCTTACCATATATCTAGCACTCTTCCTGTAACCCTTAGGAGGTGGAATTAAAATGAGAGGATTAAGGTGTCCTGGTTCAGGGCAAATTTGGGAAAGAACCCCAAAAGGGTTCCTCTAGGAAGCAGATTCAATTGGCCCCTCCCCCCTATCTTTCAACATTCGGGAAAGATACGTCCTTGGAGAAAAGTGGGAAAAAAAAAAATTAAGCAAACTTAAGCAATATTAAACAATAAAACTTCTTGCCATTCCAAGAGAGAGACAAATTCAGAAAAACCCCTGGGCTGCAGCTGGGCTCACTCAGTCTCTGATCAGTCCCTCCAGCACTGGAAATGCCACAGCCCAGGTCCAGCCCACTGGGCCACAGGTGTGAGCTGCTGTTCTGGTGCTTAGTCCAGAGCAGGTCCAAAGAAAGGGAAAAAAAGCTACAGTCCAGGGAACTTCTTTGCCTCAGCTAGCTAAAACTAACTTGAAAAGCAAAGGAGAGCTCTGCCTCGCTGTCTGTCTGTCCGCAGACAACCCAGTCCAGGAGCAGGAATGTGGAGGAGGGAGCGCAGCTCTTGAAAACAAACTCCGCACTTCTTCCCCCCCCTTTCACTCCTGGAACAAGTCTTAAAGGTGCAAAACTTATTATTCAACATAAACAGAACAGACAATTGGGGATAAAGGCATCATATAGTCAACCTAGGACATTAGGTAACTCAGATCATGAGTAAAAGTTGTTAGATTGCACTCTATGTGCTTGCTTTACAGATTAAAAAAAAAAAAAAAACATGTTTTAGCACAATTGATTGGGTAATTCTGGCAGTCCCAAACTTTAGTTCTAAGACAACTAAATCTAATTAAATACACAACAATAATATAAGCAGTTATTTATGAAAAGGAAGCTTATGCGGAGAACACCACAGAAACATATTGTTAAATTCATCAATAACATGGCTTGATTTACATATTAATTGGCAATTATTCTACCAACTCAACTCCTGATAAATATATTATTAGTCTGTTTAGTCACAGTAAACGTGTGTTGTTTTCCCTCTCTTCAATGGACCTCAGTGCAAAGATTGCAAATTAATATGAGAAGCTGTATTTTTTTCACACAGACCAATTTTGTATATAGTGGTTGTTTGCCTGGAAGATGAAAAGATGGACAAAAAATGTCCTCAATAACTTCTGGAGGAACAAAAATTATCTTTAAAAAAATGCCTCTTGAGATTTCACTTCAACCTAATTCCCAGGCTTTGGGGAGTGTGCTAGACCCTTCTGCTTATGCCCCAAATCAGACCTGTTTCCTTTTGTTCTGTCAGATACTCTTACCCACTACTTTTTGACTCTTGCACATAATTACTTTCTGATACTCACACTTCAGTCATGTCCCAGCCTGTGAAACACCACTAATCCATTTCTATTTATTCCTCCAACTCCTGCACTTTTTTTTCCTCAGTGCTTTCTTTTATTGCCATCCTAGTCTTTGATGAATCCAAGCTTTCTCCCTCCTGCTTGCTGATGTCACTTTCACTTCTTCCACTTTCACTGTCGTTTTCACTTGCACTGCTTTCACTTGCACTTCTTTTGCTTTCATGTCCCCTACTTTCCCTTTCACATTCACTACTTTCACTTTCACTTATTTCATTTGCACTTTGACTACTTTTCCTTTCATTTTCACTTATTTCATTTGCACTTTAACTACTTTTCCTTTCATTTTCACTTTCACTACGTTCACTTTTGCTTTAACTACTTTCACTGTTGCTTTCGTTCTAATTTCACTTTCACTTTTGCTGATTTCACTTTTACTTTCAGTTCTTTCACCTTCCGTTTCAACTACTTTCATTTTCACTTTCACCGCTTTCACTTTCACTATTGTTGCTTTCTTTTTCACTTTCACTACTTTCACTTTTGCTGCTTCCACTTTCATTTTTACTTTCACTACTTTCACTGCTTCCATTTTGTTTCACTTCCACATTCACTCTCACTACTTTCACGTTTGTTTTCACTCTAATTTCACTTTTGTTTTCATTACTTTCACTTTTGCAGCTTACACTTTCACTTTAGCTGCTTTCACTTCTTTCACTTTAACTCTCATTGCTTTTGGTTTCAGTTTCACTTTTGCTTTCACTTCTTTCACTTTCATTCTCTAATTTCAGTTTTGTTTTCACTACTTTCACTTTTGCTTTTGCTGATTTCAGTTTACTTTCAGTTTCATGTTTCACCACTTTCACTTTTGCTTTGACTTCTTTCACTTTCACTTTCACTCCAACTGCTTTTATTTTCACTTTCACTGCTTTCACTTTAGCTACTTTAACTGTCATTTTCACTTTCACTGCTTTCCTTTTCACTTTCACTCTAACTGCTTTAACTTCCACTTCCGCTTTCACTATTTTCACTTTAGTTTTCACTAATTTCACTTTCCTTTTCACTACTTTCACTTTTCCTTATTTCACGTTTACTTTCAGTTTCAGTTCTTTCACCTTCACTTTCAACTACTTTCATTTTCACTTTCACTTTCGCCACTTTCACTTATTTGCACTTTCTCATTGCTTATATTTTCACTTTCACTGCTTTCACTACTTTCAGTTTCACTTTCACTGCTTTCACTACTTTCACTTTTGTTTTCACTCTCACTTTCATTTTCACTTCTTTCAGTTTTGATTTTGCTGCTTTCACTTTTACTTTCGGTATCACATCTTTCACCACATTCACTTTCACTTCTTTCACTTTCTTTTTGCTTTCACTGCTTTCAATTTCACTTTCACTCTCACTGCTTTCACTTCCACTTTTGCTTTCACTACTTTCACTTTAGTTTTCAGCCTAATTTCCCTTTTGTCTTCACTGCTTTCGCTTTTGCTGCATTCACTTTCATTTTTGCTTTTGCTACTTTCACTTGCGCTTTCACTACTTTCACTTTCACTCTCACTGCTTTCACTTTCAGTTTCACTTCCACCACTTTCACTCTCACTGCTTTCGGTTTCACTTCCACTTTCACAACTTTCACTTTCTCTTT